CTACATGCTGCCAGTACTAAAACATCCTTGGAGTTTCCAAACATTATAGATGACAATTTCCTAACTCAAAAAAGTGTTGCAATTAACACAGGGGAATTCTTAAACCATAAAGAGGAACTGATTACAGAACTAAAAATTAACGGTGGCTTAGGTACAAGTGATCATTATACTGCTTGCACATTATAAAAGTGATCAAGTAAAATCCAGATCATTATATATACACACACACACACACTTGGTGCTTTAAATAGGTCAGTTTCACAAAACTGAACACAATTATGAGCCAAATCAGTTGGGAGGACAAATTTAATGAGAAAAATGTGACTGATAACAGGGAATCCTTTAAGAACAATTTACTAGGTTCCCCCAAAACCACAATTGAGGAAGAAGGCCACACTAGTTAAAAAACAGATCTGCTTTAGTGGGGAAGTGAAGGCAGCTATAAAAAAAAGTAATAGAACACATGGAAGAAAGGGGAAGTTGATAATAATGAATAGAAATCAGTTTTCTACAGTTCCTAACTTCTGATAAGGGAAACAAAGGGACACAAGGAGAAATCTGTGGTCAGCAGAATTACAGACAATAAGTTTTTGAAATATATTACAAGCAAAAAGAATCCTGGCAATAGTATTCATCCATTAGTAGATGCAAATAGTAGAATTATCAATAATAATGCAGAAAAGGCAGAAGTGTTCAATAAATATTTCTGTTCCACTCGTAGCTCTGAAGGACACTAAACAGAAGCTACTAAAGTCAGACACTTTTAAATCAACAGTTCCAGATAACTGGCATCCAAGAGTTTTAAAAGAGCTGGTTGAGGAGCTAGCTGGATTGTTCATGTTTCTTTTCAATTAAGTCTTGAAATACTGGGGAAGTTCTGGACCAAAGCTAATGGTGTGTCAATATTTTAAAAAAGAGTAAACATGCTAACCTAGGTCATTACAGGCCTGACAGTCTGACACTGATCCGCGGCAAGATAATAGAATGCCTCATATGGGATTTGATTAAGAAAGAATTAAAAAGGAGGATAATATAATTAATGCCAATCAATAGCGGTTTATGGAAAACAGTTCCTGTCAAACTAACTTAGATAGCTTTGGCCTGGTCCCCACTAAGCCCCCACTTCGGACTAAGGTACGCAAATTCAGCTACGTTAATAATGTAGCTGAATTCGAAGTACCTTAGTCCGAACTTACCGCGGGTCCAGACGCGGCAGGGATGCTCCCCTCGTCGATGCCGCGTATTCCTCTCGCCGAGCTGGAGTACCAGCGTCGACGGCGAGCACTTCCGGGATCGATCCCAGAATATCGATTGCCTGCCGCCGGACCCTCCGGTAAGTGTAGACGTACCCAAAATTGATGAGATTACAAGTTCGGTTGATAAAAGGTAATAGGTTTGACATTATACTAGCACAAGTATATTGACATAGACTTTTGGTTGTTAAAAATTATGTTGCTCAGGGGCGTGGAGAAGAAACAAAAACACACCCCGATTGACATAAATTACACGGACAGAAGTGCCGGCACGGACAGCGCTATGTCGGTGAGAGACAGTCTTACGCCAACATACCCCCAACGAGCGGTGGTAGCTAGTTTAATTACGCCAGTGGGAGAGCTCTCTTCCGTCAGCATAGAGCGGCTATGTGGAAGATCTTACAGCAGCACAGCTGCATTGGTACAGCTCCGCCACCGTAAGGTCTCTAATGTAGACCATAGTCTTTGATGTTTGACTTGGTACCGCACAACATTTTAATTAAAGAACTACAATGATATAAAATTAACGTAGCACACATTCAATGGATTAAAAACTGGTTAACTACTAGGTCTCAGAAGGTAACTAAACAGGGAAGGCGCAGGTGTGTTTCTTACAGGGATCAGGTCTTGGCCCTATGCTATTTAACATTTTTATCCATGCCCTGGAAAAAAAACCCATAAAAATCACTATTAAAATTTGCAGCCAACATAAAAATTCAAGAAGTGGTAAATAATCAAGGGGACAGGTCACGAATTCAGAACCATCTGAATCGTTTGGGAAACTGGGTACAAGCAAACAATGTGCATTTTAATATGGCTAGATGTATATGTATGCTGCTGGGAACAAAGGCAGGCAGGCCACATTTACAGGGTGGGGAACTCTCTCCTGAAGCAGTGTCTCAGAGTGATTTGGGGGTGCTGGATAATCAGCAGAACATGAGCTCAGTGTCACACCGTGGCCAAAAGGGCTAATGCCATCCTGGGATGCATAAACGGGAATCTCGAGTAGCAGCAGAGAGGTGATTTTACCGCCGTATCTGGCGCTCATGTGACTACTGCTGGATTCCTGTGTCCAGTTCTGATTTCCTGCAATTCAAGAAAGATGTAGATAAATTAGAGAAGATTCAGAGAAGAGCCACAACAATGATGAAAGGATTAGAAAACCTGCCTCATAGTGATCAACGCAAGGAGCTTGCTCTATTTAGCTAAAAAAACAGTTAAGGGGAGATATAATCAGTCTATAAGTACCTAGACAGGGAAAAATATTTAACAATGGGCTCTTTAGTCTAGCAGAGAAAGGTCTAACACGGTCCAATGGCTGGAAATTGAAGCTAGACAATTTCAGACTGGAAATAAGGGGTACAATGTTCAACCGTGAGAGTAACTGTTGGAACAACTTACCAAGGGTCGCCGTGGGTTCTCCATCGCTGACAATGTTTAATCATGCAGGGGTGGTTGTAGCCGTGCTGATCCCACACTACTGGGGAGACAAGGTGGGTGAGGTAATCGCTTTGATTGGACCAACTTCTGCCAGTGGGAAAGGGGATCAAGTTTTTAATTTGCCCACATGCCAGATGGCTTTCAAAGCTGAAATCTAAGAGAGAAGGTTTCTCAATATCAGACGCCACTAGGATAATCCCTACGACCGAATCTGAGGAGCATTAGCTTATTAGCTGAATGCTGGGTTCTCTTCAGGTCAGCTTTAAGGTGAATCGCATTCCTCAAGTCAGGCCACGGGCTCATTCTTCACCAGCCAACAACATGTTCATTCACCCACCACCATGTTAGTACCCAACCAGCACCTCGGTGCTCAGGGCCAGGCCCAGGCCCAGCCTGTCACGTACATAGTGCACATGGCATGGCCAGGCCACCCAGAATCAGGCCCAGGCCATGACATACAAGGCCCACAGCAGCCCCACAGACCAGGCCACTCAGGCCCAGGCCGCATGCCTCGCATGTTCCTAAGTCTCAAAAAACAAAACAAAAAAAGTGGTACGTCTGTCAAAACAAGCCCCCCCCATTTCAGAGGGAGGGAAGTGGGCGTGTTTCTATGCCATATTTTTTTTAGTAATAATGTAAATACACCCCAGAGGTCAGTCCTGGGGCTGGTTTTGTTCAACATCTTCATTAATGATCTGGATGATGGGATGGATTGCACCCTCAGCAAGTTCGCGGATGACACTAA